ATAATGAATCTTTTTAAAAGTACTTAGCACATAATAGGTTTTTACAAAAAGTGGTAGCTATGAGAATTCTACTTGGAAAGCTCTGTGCTACTGTAGCTAATACAACATCCAGTATATTGCTTACTTTTGTAAATAAACTTTTATGAAATTCAGCTGTCTTGAGATCACATTCACTTTGGAACAAAGGTGGCTGAGTTAAGAAGCAGACAGAGAGTTGTTGGCCTACAGAGTCTAACAGATGTTTTTAGCTCTTCAAGAATTTTTGGTGATTCTTGGCTTAAACTGAAAGAAAATATTTGTTTACAAAGTACAGAAAAAGCTAGAACAATTTATCCATACTCAAAATAAATAACTATGACTTAATACAACATTTTTTATTTAAAAAGGTGGGATATGAGAATTTGAAGGAAGTCCAAACATATTCCAAGAAACTCAAACACCAAAAGTCAGTCCACCTATTGAAACAAATTTTGATTAAGTAGTTCAATGTTAAACCAATATCTATAGATTATTTAAGTAAATAGATTCTTATGCCTAGCTTGTTTATTTCCTTTTCTTTCCAGGATTTCAAAGAGTTAGCCATTACACTTATTTATTTAGTTATCTACCTTTTTCACTGAGAAACAATTGAATGTAGAAAGGTGTATTTATTCAGTGTATTAACTTGCTGGGCTGGTAAACATACATGCTTATGAAATCATCACCATCAATGCCATAAATATGCCCTTGCCCTCGTAAATTGTCTTCCTAGCATATTCATTGTTCTTGATGTTCATGTTATATGTTGTAGTAACACTTTCTACAAAATCTATGCTCCCAAAATTTTTACATGTTCAATGTTATGCGATTGGCAATGGGTATTTATGTAGAAAGGATTTACCTCAAGACAAGGTTTATTTTTGAAATCAAGTCTGTATTATTGGTTTGAGAAGAACATCATGTTAGGATATATATATATAATATTTCATATATAATAATATTTCAGGTTTTGCCTGGTTTGCTGCCTCATTTCAGCTCTATGGTTGTTATTTTTAATGTTATCAATAAAACTATCAAAATTGACAAGGATTAATCACCTGACCCAAGGCTCTACCAGCATTTAAGTATCAATTAATGAACACAAGAGAAATGTTTTGATATCTTATTGCAATTTTTATAGTATAATGAAAGATCAATAAAAGTCAATACATTCCCAGGGTATGTGGCCACTTCATTTAATCCCTAGCACATGATATAACAAGTGTTTACTGTGGGGAAGAATACAGAAGTGATGCCCATGCAGTCTCTAATATTAGCACTCCTGCAGGAGAGATTGGTACTCCTTGAGAGAATGACAATGTTCTGTTACCATGACCGTCTCTGTTTGTTCTCTAGAATGCTGGTTATCACTCCTTAAACCTCTGATGTAATTCTTTTGTGCAATTTGGAATCTTTAGTTTTACCTTTATAACATGACCTTCTAAGCATTATGTGTCTACCTCTATTTTAAACAATCAAGTCTACTTTATCAAGTTCCATGTGCAGATTATACCTTGTGCACATGTCTTTGCATCCAGTGTTTCTCTCCCAAGTATGTGACATAATACAAGAGGGAGTCCACGCTGCGATGTTCTGTGGCATACAATAAATGGATAAGGAAAAGATGCTCCATCCATTCATCCTAGAAACCCCATGATAGAATTCCATCAAAATAAACCAATCTCTGACTCCACCTCCCCACTGTCTATCAACTCTCCACCAACCACTCGTGAACCTTGTCTAAGAACTGACAGTCCTCTTCAATACCCACTTGAGACTCAGCAACTCTCAGGCTATGGTGGTTCCTTGCACTCTGGGGAAAACCCAATTCTTTTGTTTAATCCACCCATCTCAACACAACACACCAATTTTTATGTTTTATTATCAAATTCATGGTGCACCTGGAAATCTTGGATTCCTGTTTCTGGCCACGAAAACCTTCTTATTCTCTCACTTCAATCAAATGCGTGTTTTGATCATATAGAGATCTTGAGTACTTTATTTTCCTTTCATTCTTCTCTATTTCATCAATTTCCATAGCCAACCAGAGTCACCTGGCCTTCAATTCATCTGCTTTATGAGTCACCCCTATTTTCCCATCTCTTTGTCTCCCAGCTCTCCCTTTCTAAAGCTGGGTCAGTTTGAACATTGCCTTTCTTCTTTCTTATGTAAGACCCAGGACAGTAATTGTCTTTCATGTGATTTCACTGTTAAGTCCATTTTGTGAAAATTTGTTTGGATCTTTAACACTGCACTTGAAATGACTTTCATTATTATTATTATTATTATTACTATTATTACTACTACTACTACTTCTACAATGATGATGACGTTAAAAGTAATAATAATAATAATAATAATATATTTGACTAAATCTCCCCAATTTATATTCCCATTTCATTGTGTCATTACTTCAATATCCATCCACTTCTCACTACCTGAGAGAAATAAAATTCAGTGAGGACTCATCTCTCCCATTCACATCCGTTCTTTATGCTAAAACTTTATCATAAAACATCCCTGATGTGAGATGTTCTTCTGTAGGCTGAAAATATATGTTGATTTTATTGGTTGATGAGTGAAGGTGCTTTGGCCTACAGCATGACAGAATATAGCTAGGTGGGAAATCCAAGCAGAGAATCAGGTGAAGAAGGGTGGGGTGAGAGAGTTGCCAGTGAGCTGCCGGAGCAGCAAGCTGTCCTAGAGAACAGGTAATGCCACAAAGTCACATAGTGATACACAGATTATTGAAATTTACCTGTAAGAGATAGCCAATAATAAGTCTGAGCCATTAGTCAAGCAATTATAATTAATATTAAGCCTCTGAATGATTATTCTTAAGTGGCAGTGGTCACTATAGGACTATGTTTTTGTTTATGCTATAAAATGTTTACATTCATTTGATCATTTTGATTGTGTGTCTACATGACTGGATATCTCTATCTGTGTGCAAATTTGTGCAATGACACATGTTAGTATAACCTATATTGATTTTCTCTTTTTCAATTTGTGGATTGAGGACTGAACTCAGGTCATCAGGCTTGGATGCAAGGGCCTTTAGCAACTGAGCCACCTTGTCAGCCCATTTTTACTTAATGGCATTTCTTGCTGAGTTTGCAGAAAAACTGTTACCTTTTTGGTGTTGATGTAGATATAATTTACTGATAAGATTCTCCATTCTTTCACCACTGTTATTGTCTACCATCTGTCTTCTTGATGCCTGTAAGCATGTAACCTAAAACTATCAGATCAATGCCATGTCACAGCTATTCCTAGGCAGTGGAATTTAGGACCAAGAGGATTTTATTACAGGAAATAAGAGTTCTACAAGGAGCATGGGGTTTATAAATGACTCCATAGAAGTTTCTTAACATCTACATAGATGCTTATATTCAATATATGCATGTGAGTGATTCTTTTTCAGAAAAGTTTGTGTGTGTGTGTGAACTGAATTTTTATTAACCCGTTTCATTTTTAATGTGTTAGGGGGATTTTGAGTACCTAAGAGAACTCAATTACAAAACAAATTGCTTTCTATATGATAATGTTATTTTAAGAAACATAATTAAAGTGTGGCTTTCTGCTTTTAAGTTTGTTTTTATCATATATGGAATTTTTTGAACTGTAGCATCATTAAATTTGTATATCTCTTTTATACAATGAATGGATCTCTATACTTCAATCCATTTTTCCATAAATATATGGCCATTGAATTGTGAGATTTGCTTTAGTCTTAAAACAGTGGTCTTTGAAGATGATTAAAAATATTCAAGAATTAGACCTCCAGCTTCTATATCAGAGTTGAGGCTGGTCCTAGGGACCCCAGATCTTTGCCTAGCCCAATTATCATCAGAGAGGCTTTACCCAGCAATTGATGGAAAGAGATGCAGAGATCCACAGTCAAACATTAGGCGGGCCTTGGGAAATCCTGTGGAGGAGGGGGGGAAAGCTTTATGGGAGGCAGAGGGGCCAAGAGCACCATGGGAAAACATACAAAGTCAACTAACTTGGCCTCATGGTTTCTCACAGAGACTGAATCACCAACTAGAGAATTTGCATGGGACTGACCTGTATCCTTTGTACTTGTGTTACCCATATGTGGCTTCATCTTCTCGTGGGACTCCTGGCAGAGGGAGTGGGGGTTGTCTCTGATTCTGTTGTCTGCTCTTTGAACTCTTTCCTCTTGTTGGGTTGCCTCCTCTAGCCTCAATAGGAGAGGAGGTGCCTAGTCTTGCTGCAACTTTATACACTTTGCTTGCTGAGTACTTTTCTGAAGGGAAGGTGGAGGAAGTGGATGGGGAGAGGGTCTGGGAGGAGAGGAGGGGAAACTGTGATCAGGCTGGGAGAAATTAATTAGTTGATTAATTTACAAATGAAGAATTAGGTCCTGTGGGATGCTTCATTGGGAAAGTACTTGCTGCACAAGTATAATGACTTCAGGTTAATTTGATGTGGTGTAGTACAGATGTGTAATGACCAAATAAGGGCAATTAGCACATCCATCATTTTAACATTCATCTTCTGTGTGATTTGGCATCCTCAGCTCAGGTGTTAACCCCTTAACCTCTGGTGTAGTAATTACTGTAGTGGAACTTTCAGTTTACCCACATCCTTCCCCTACATTCCCCATCCCAACCTTGAGTTATTGAGCTGACTAGTTTCTTTGTGAGTTTCTGAACCTGGGATAACTCACAGCAGGAGAAGTATGCTACCACAGCATAGAAAAGGAGACAAAATGAGAGGTGGTAAGAAAACAGAAAGATCTGGACTAAGACTCAAAGTGCAAAGCAAGGTTACGTTGGCAACTTTACTGCTGTGGAGAAGACTGCCCAGGCTCATGGTGACAGGAAATGAGTCAAACAAGTGACCAGAGGAACCTCTTAAGAGGCAGATGATGAGTAAGCTCAGGAGGCAGTAAAGTAAAGGCCCTTTATGAGGCTCCTCTACTTTGAGCACTGCTGCACATACCTCCAGCGACTTACCTCTGCAAGGTAGAATTCATCATACTGTCTTCTGAAGTTTTCTCCCTTGTAGTAGTTGCTGGCTGCGACTATCACATCCACAGTCACCATGCTCAGAATAAACATGTGGAAAACGGATGACCGCATCATTTTCTGAGGAGGCAAAATGGATAGGTAAATTCTTCATGAAGACACAAACCTCACCACTAACTGAAATGTGAATGGTCATATATTTTGAGGGACAACATGTCTATGGGACAATATGGCAGTGAAAACCAGTATTTCCAAGGCCACTGATCAATGTCTTTCTTTCTCAATAGAGGGACCAAAGGAAGCCATTTCTTTCAGTGAGTTAAAGATGTAGAAGAACACAGTTTCAGAAATCTTCAGTTAAAATTGGAAAATACATTTAATTTAACTTGTAAATACTTGAATCTTGGACATTAGGTTGTTTTGACCTTGAATTGTGAATATATGGAAAAATAGCTTTCATAACGGTTATTCTGAAAAACAAGCATGTCTGTTTGGTATCAAGGAGGATAATAAAAGCATTTTGCACATGGTTATAAAGTTGGAAAGAGGGAGAAACAGGAGATTTATTTTCCTTTATTGCTTATATAAATTCTCAAAATAATCTTGTAATGAATAATGACTATCTGTTGAGCTTATTAACTATCTGGAGCTGTTCTAGAATTTTACATAGATTAATTCAATTAAAGTTGATGCTAGTCCTAGGATGTTATTCTAATTTGACGAATAAGAAAACTGAGACTCCAAGAAGTTAAGTAATTTTTCTCCACTGTCACATAAGAATCAAGGATGGACTCAGGATTGGGGATTAAATCTGTTCCAAGTCCATTTTCTGTATCGGAGTAGAGCTTACTAAGCATTAAAAACAGGTATCACAGTAGCTGCCACGTGTTGAAAGTTTATTATGTGTTAAGTCATTTATGTACATGTTACTCATGCTGCATCATTAATGCTACAGCTCTAAACAGTAGGATATGTGACATGTATTATACATAGCGTTCATAGAACTTAGGTTGTTTGTTCAAGACCACACAGCTGAATGCATCGGAACCAAGCTCTACCACTAGGTATGTTTGAAGTCTATTCTGTGATTTTACGCCATTGTGAGGAAGAGATCATCTAAGTGGAGAAAAGAGAGTGAAGGCTTTGGACATAGAGAGCCAACCACTCAGGTCTGATGCTACCATATGGTCTCTTCCTTTATAGTTTCTTTTTGGTATTAGAAGGAAATTTATTATAGATTCATAAATAGGAGAGAGTTCACGAGAGCTCAATAAAGGAAGAGAGAGAATATGAATTTGAATGAAGCATGGAGTGAGAACTATGCCGTTTCATTTAGACATGGAGGTCAGTCCTGTAGCAGATAAATCCACAGAGTGGAGGCAGGTGGGGAGGAAGGCTTCAGAGAAAAGCTCGCATAGGCTTTGCTAACACCCAAAGCAAAACCTTTCTGAGTCAGAAAAAGGCAGTCGCTTTTTCTCTTCTTGAGGCTTCTTTTCTTCCCCACTATGGATACTGTGTGTCCCTGCCCTATGATCTGACTGACAAGTTCCTTATCAGTGCAACTGAAAGAGCCTGCATAATTCTCAGACTGAGACTGAGATAAAGTGTACTTGAAAGATGTCCAAGGCATCATCTCACCTAACTCTCTCTAACAGAATGGGGTGTAGCCCATCCCAGTTGGGGGTAGCCAAATTGTCTGCAGTTGAGACTATACCACTTCCTGGTGTTGTACCCCTGAACAATCTACCTAAGCCTCAGGTGAAGTTACTGCACCTCAGTTTTCTTCACAGTAAAGTGGACACAATTTGTCTGCTCAAAAGGTATATTATAGCTTTTAAATAAGACAACATCTATAAAGGTGTGCTAACACACTGCAGGTCTTATACAGACTTCTAGTTCAAACTAATGCCATATTATGATTCAGATATGTTTCTGCTGCGATTGAGAAATTAATCATACAAGGCCAATGAATTAATTATATTGAACATCTCTGAGCCCAGAACCAAGGGAGATAAACCGAAGTGATAAAATCCTAATAAATCTAGAGATGCCTGAATCAAGGAAAAAGTAAATTTTCCATGAAGCTTCATGTCCTTCCTTGCAATTGAAACATTTTTCTATCTTTTTCTCTTTGACTTTATTTCATCAGTAATACAAAAACCAAATTCAAAAACTGCCAATCAACCTGTTTGTATTGCCATCAAGTTACTTGCAGGAACTACTGATCTTCATAACACAGATAAGGAAATCAGTTGTCAAATTTCTATTCTCGTTAGAATTTGCATTGTTATTTCCTCTTTCTTTGCATTGTGAGAGTTAAATTCCACGCCCATCACTTTTTTTCTATACCCTTTTCAACATAATGTTCTATTAAAAACATGTCACCTGATTTCTATTTTATTAGCATGATAGAAAAGCTACACTTTTTCTTTCTGTTTTCTTTCACTTTGGATTTAGGTCTTAAGTAAACTGTTATTACAGAGAGGTCCAAACAAAGCTTTCAGCCATGGCTGTCAAAAAACTTTGAAATTGGTTTTTTAACTGTCACAGCTTGGCTTTGGAGCTGTCATTATAATTAGGTTATTTTTTTTGTCTGAATGTCTATGTATCTCTGTTGGTACAGAGTCATTAAAATAATCACTCACAATGGAGTTTGATATGCTATAATCACCGTGGCTTGGTTGACTTGCTCCTGTGTAATAACTTTCAATCATTAAATAGGAATGAGGGTGATAAGTATGTGTAGAAACCAAATTTAAATATTAAAACTAGTAACTCTAGCTTTAATATGAAAGCTAGTGACAGGGGCCACTGGAACTAATTCAGTCAACCAGTGTTAGAAGCTGTCCACCAACTTCCGTGATGTAAAATGACTGATAGTGTTGCATGAGCACTCATTCTTGTGTTGGCAGAAGTCCAAGTCTATCCTTTCAGTTTTCACTTTCTTTTGCAGATTAGCATAGAATTTGTTGAAGTTGAATAGATCTTACAAAACACTATGAAACTTGAGGCTTCCACAGTTCTATTACTTAACATAAATGCAGCTTCTACCTACCATCTATTTCTCTATATAGACACACACACACACACACACACACACACACACATACAAACTTTCCATGAACATCCACATGTACAAATTTAAGTATGTGTATATATGTGTTGTATTTTTGACACTTCTGCATTGTTCATGGGAATACAAGCTGGTGCAACCTCTTTGGATGCCAGTGTGGCAATTTCTCAGAAAATTAGGAAACAACCTTCCTCAAGACCCAGTAATACCACATTTGGGTATATATCCAAAGGATACCCAATCATACCACAAGGACATATGCTCAGCTATGTTCATAGCAGCTTTGTTTGTCATAGCCAGAACCTGGAAACAACCTAAATGCCCATCAATCAAAGAATGAATAAAAAAGTGGCACATTTACACAATGGAGTACTACACAGCAGAAAAAAATAACGACAGCTTGAATTTTGCAGGAAAATGAATGGAGCTAGAAAACATTATTTTAAGTGAGGTAACCCAGACACAGAGACAATTATCACATGTACTCACTCATAGGTGGTTTTTAAACACAAAGCAAAGAAAATCAGTCTATAAACCACAATCCCAGAGAACTTAGACAACAATGCGGACTCTAAGAGAGACTTACATAGATATAATCTACATGGGAAGTAGAAAGTAGAAAAAGACAAGATCTCCTGAGTAAATTGGGAGCATGGGGACCTTAGGGGAGGATTGAAGCGGGGAGGAGAGGGGCAGGGAGGGGAGCAGAGAAAAATGTAGAGCTCAATAAATATCAATAAAAAATAAAAAAAGAATTTCCAGACATCTGTATTCAAGCTTTTTAAAGTTCCTTCATTTAAAATGATATTTTAGTTCACTTTTTGTTAAGTTAGAGGAAGAAGAAAAGGCTCAGTGTTTAAGAATGATTGTTGCTCTTCTAGATGATCCACGTTCTGGTCCCCATACCCACATAAGGCATCTCACAACCTCCTGTTATTCCAGCTCCAGGGATTCCAACAGCATCTTCTGATCTCAGTGGGTATATATACATATATCCATACCCATATGTACATACACAGACAAAAATAAAAATAAAAGTAGAAGCACCTTTTAAAATGCTTTTAAAAATTAACAGCCAACTTCTGAATAATTTTTCGTTTTCCTTTGCTCCAAAATCCACTTATTTTTATAAATGACCTTTGGAGTTACAAAGATACGAAGAGACTTTAATAGAATCTTTCCCAAAGCATCAAAATCTGTCAGAAACACTAGAGACTTTCTACTCTAAGGGTCTCTGGGTCAGCTGCACCCATGAATGTGCTTAGAAATGCAAGAACAAAGACTGTTTCCTAGCCACAAAATATCGAAATCTGTAACTTTTACAAGGTCTCTAGGTGATTTCTCGTGTTATGTTCAAGTTTAAGAAATGGATAATACTCATTGATTAAGAGGATAAACTGGGTTAAGTAGAATCTAATAAATTCTAATTCTAATGACTGAATATCATTGTTATAGTAGGCGCACTAGATCCCCAAATGGATGGCAGTTCCTTCTCACCCAAGTCCATGGCAAAGAACCAGTTATACAAAAGGGTTTGCAATATAAGGGGGCTTTCTGAAGCTATAATTACAGACTCTTTAAAAATGGCAGAGGATGAGGTAGCTTCAAAGGCTTGAAAAGAAAACAGAATATATATCCTTAGTTTTCAAAAAACAATGCAGTGCCACTGATGTCTCAAATTTTTTTCCTCCAGTTAAAACGAGTTTTGACATCTGATCTGTAGTACATGATGAATTTATACTGTTTTAAGTAACTAAGTTTGTGGACATTTGTTTCAGCCATAATAGGAAACCATAGAGCACTGTCAGTTATTTTGATGGACATCATCTTAAATTATTCTCTAGGGAAATGATTGAACACACCTGCCCAGTACTAAGTAAGACTTAACTATGGTCTCCACACAGGGTGACTCATTAGTAAGATGCTGTAAATACTGTTGCTTCAAATGTAAACAGCATTATAGTTACTGTATCTTTCATATCGCACTGTGCTAGGAAGTACCAGGAGAAAATAATGCAATGGTGCAAAGGCCAAAAACAATAAACAT